ATTCCTTGAATCTTGGAGATGAAAGGTTCTGGCGACCGTGAAACGGGGACATAGGCGGACGGGCAATCGAAAACCCGTTCGATCCCGCCGATAGGGCATAAATCGACAGTGAGACCCGGTCCATCCATCCGGTACTGGCCAAAGGCGAACGAGGTGAGCTGTCGGGACAACCGCAACCGACGGTGAAGAGAAATTCGGTCACAAATGAAAAGTCAGCCTACCAAGAAAATGAAAAAGATTTTGTTCATATATGAGGGCAAATGATGAAATTGACACGTTCTCAAAATATTTAAATTTAGAAAAAATCTAATTTATTTATAAACTTTTTGCAGATATTAAGCAAGACTTCAGCTAATCACGAAAAAATAGATTTTGCATCATACAATTATACAAATTTAAAAAAATTGACAAACTTCAAGGTCGTCATCTTATCTCCTTTTGCCTTTCATTTAATTTTAGATCATGTTTAATTTTTTTTCAGGGACAATGTAATGAGTAGAGACTCTTTTTGTGTCATTTATTTAATTATTACAAATGTACATAAGAACATGTGGATATACTAGTTTTGTTTTTTTAATATTTTTGGCTTCTACTGTGAGATCATTGTATTCGATCCAACTTCCAGATTGCCAACTGATCGCCGTATAATGTCCAATGCTATGTATTATTTCCATTCCTCGTGTTGACATTGGAGGTTTTTTGTAATCTATAATTTCAATTAATTGTAAATCATTTTCTTTACTTAACAAATTTATAATTACTTTTGGAATATCTTACAATTTTATTGGTTGACTTTTATTTTTAAAAGTACAAACGTCAAATAATACTATGAAACCTGAAAAAGATTTGAGAATATGTATGTGTACATATTGAACGATTTGTAATATATAATTAAAAATTAAATATATGCAGTTTTTGTAAGTTATATGTAAATAATGTTTAATTGTTTTTGGATATTATCTTAAGTATTCTATATGTATTACGTATAATGAGATATATATTATCAGAATTATAATATATATCGTAAATATAACTTTGTTTATTGTATTAAATCGTGAATATTTTTATTTTTTTTAAATTTATAGTAAACGTGCATAGATTATAATATAAAACATAATGTATAATGCAAAATTACTATTTTAATTCGTAATATAAAGCATTTTATTATTTATAAATTATCATAAGCGATAGAATATAATATTTTAGGATAAATTTTTCAATGACTGATTATGAGAAGCTGTTTATTATTATAAAAATATTGTAGGAAATATTGCAAGAAATATTATTATAAGTGTTAAATTGAAATAAGTGTAGTGATGGAATCTTTTAAATTAAGAATTGTTCTTTTCATATTATTTTTGTTTTTTATTATATAGTTTTATTATACATATATGTATATAATATTTTATTATATAATTTTATTATATATTTATTATATTTATTTTTTATTATATACATAAGATTTAATTTTTAATATATATTTTATAAATAATTAATGATAATCACAAATTTATTAGAATAGCGTTTGATCCAAAAAATAAATTAAATAAGATTAAAATCTTGATCCAAAAAGTGTCTTTAAACTTAAAACATAACATAATTTCATTTACCTATTTTGCAAAATGTTGTTTCAAAACCTGGACAATTCTTTTAACAACACTTTTTTTCCAGTTAATATAATGTTATCATTTATAACATTATAAAAATTATTTTCCAATATATTGGAATCGATTTGTGCAATATAGGTAGTTTTTTTTTCGAGTTGAACATCCCATATTGCAGACTGATAATTCCTCAAAACTTGATGTATTTTTGAAAAGTACACCAGCCAAATATCCAGCATTGGTTTGGCAATCAATTAATACACAAGTTTCAGAATGTGAGCCTTCAGTAAAAAAAATAGGCTTTAATATTTCTGCACGGAGCTTGTATGTGTGTGCCCTCATGCCTTTATTCAAAATATCAATAGCCATTTTAAATAATGGATTGCTCTCTGCTGCGCATATCTACGTAATAAAGTACATATATAAAGTACATATACATATATATAATAAATTAAAAAATATGTCTATATTCTAATAAAATTTGATTAATTACATCTCAATAATATCACAATCGAAAATAAACCATAAATATTATAAGTTGCCAAAGATTACAGTAGACATTATAGAAAAGTAGAATATAAACTGTTAAAATTTTTTATTTTTAATACATTTTATTCTAATTTTATACATTAATAATTATTTTATAATCATTTATACTTTTTATTTTGGGAAAAGACTTACTTAACTTAGACTTAGAATTACTTAAAATAATATACCTTGTTCGTAAAATGTTTGTAGTCTGATACAGCTACAAGCACAATTTGTAGAATGCTATCAAATGACGAGCGACAAATATTCGAATATTCGCGTTTGGTGTTCGTTGAGTGAAACATTGAACGTTGCTTTGTCGCTCGTCTACTGTTTCACTCGCGTCTCCACCGTGAGTCTCTCATCGTGATTCTTTAGTCTTACGCTCTAAACAGCATCAGTCGCAACTATCCAAAATGTATCGTAATAGAGGACGTTCGCCTAAAGTGCAAAGTAAAGATATTATTCATACTTTTTTAACATATATAAAAATCGGATCATAACATTGGACGATAAAATAGTATCTAAAGCGATGACGTAATTTTTCCGAAATATCTACTAATGCATTTTGTGATCGTTTAACACCTGGTTATTTATACACTATAGTATCATGTGATCAAATTGGCATGCGAGATAAACTTTTTGATAGTTCAAAAATGAATACGACAAACAGTTTCAATGTCAGTAATAAAAGTAATTTAAATATAAGTGATAGTACAATCGGTGAAAAATCTACAGAATCCATGAATGCAGAACCCATTAATTTTATAATAAGAATCTCAAAACATGAGTTTGAAGAGTTAATTGTTTATAAATCATACAAACGTATGCAGCGAAACAAAGTGCGAAACCGAATTTGGAAGACTCTTCGCCCAGAAATCTGGGAAGAATTCATAACAGATAAAATTTGGGATGCAATACATCTGAAATGTGGATTTCAGTTTCGAAACCATTACTTGTCCAATGTTAGTACATCTGGATACATAAATGGTAAATATAAATTTTTAATTATAAAGTTATTTTCTCTTAAATGTAGGTATATCTACATAAATCTTAAGTTGGAAGTAAGTACAATAGAAAAAGAAGATTTATATATTTGTTTTATACAATTATTAAAAATTGCAAACAAAGAATTTTGTTTTTACTATTAATTACATAAAAAATGATTTTTTTACTCAGGTACTTGCAAATGTGGTAGTAGTTTACGGTGTAATATAGAAGAAGATAATAATACAGAGGTTGTGCTTTTAAACTATAAAATATTTAAAGGCACTGGTAAATGTGCAGGTAAACGTTATTTAAAAAAACCGTTGAGAACAACAGTTGGAAAAGAATTACGTACTAAACCGATTGAAATATCAGTCAATCAATAGTCCTACTACTCTTGTCAGAGCGTAGTGACCTCTTCTCGTATTTCTACGATGTGCGCTATTTACACTTTTACGCAGATATACGGGACCTACATTTTAACGCCAGATCGGAAGAGCACACGT